CGACCAGGAGACAAAGGTGGTGAACCCGATGCTCTCACCAGAAGGACAGACATGCAACCAGCTGGTGAAGAGCAGGATCACAATGTGAGGCAACTACTGCCTCCTCGAGTGTTCAAGGAGACAGCAGACCATGACTCGCTCCTAGTGGCCCCCATGATCTCGATGGAGTCCATAGCATCAAAAGGTCTCAAAGACCTGGTCAAGATCTTCCAGCCTTTAGACCAAGAGCTACAGGAGATACATAGGAAGAAGCCTTTCGAACTCAAGGATGACCTATGGTACAGTGGAGGAAGGTTGGTTATCCCCAAGGTGATCATGCCAGGGAGGACCAACAACCGACACTCAAGGAGTGCCAAAGAGGTAGATGGACAGTCTCTCTCTGTAGAGCATCTGCGATTCATGGTGATGACCCAATGCCATGATGGTATCACTGCTGGACACGTAGGAAGAGATGCTACCATCAAGGCAGCTCAACGACATTACTGGTGGCCAAACATGACAGCTTGGATTGCAGACTATGTAGCAAGTTGTCCTGTATGTGCTAGGTACAAAGCTCCTCGTCATCGTCCATATGGTTTGCTACAGCCACTAGCAACCCCAGACAGGCCCTGGGGCTCCATATCCCTCGACTTCATTGAAGGACTACCACCATCAAAGAAGTATGACTCCAAGACCTATGACTCTATCCTAGTCATCGTCGACAGGTTAACCAAGTTTGCCATACTAGCTCCAACCCATAAGACAGTCACAGCCAAACAGACTGCAGTATTGCTATATGGACACATGGTTAGACTCTTCGGATATCCAGATCACATGGTCTCAGACCAAGGCAGGCAGTTCATATCAGGAGCATGGAAGGCATTTGCAGAACAAATGGGTGTGAAGCACTCACTTAGCACAGCCTACCATCCTCAAACTGATGGTCAGACAGAGAGGGTCAATCAGGTCATAGAGCAGTACCTAAGGATGTACTGCAACTATGAGCAGAATGACTGGGCCAACCTGCTGGACACTGCAGCCTTTGTATACAACAACATGGTCCACAACAGCATTGGTGTCTCACCATTCTTTGCATGCTATGGATGGAACCCCAAAGCTCATCCTGACATCCCTCAACGACTAGGAGTCAATGATCCAGGTCGCTTCGAGTACCTCATGGATGGAAAGGAGCGTTGCAAGTACCTCCAGGAGCAGATCAGAGAGGCACAACGTAGATCAGTAAACCAGTATAACAGGAAGCACAAGGACATCGAGTTTAAGGTGGGTGATATGGTCTATATCAACCGACGAAACTGGAAGACAAGGAGACCCACACCCAAGTTAGACACCCGGTTCGCAGGACCCTACCCAGTTCAGGAACGGGTAGGATGCCGAGCTTATCGAATCACATTGCCAGCAAACCTTAGGGTGCATGATGTGTTCCATGTCTCCATGCTCGAGCCAGCAAGAACAAGTTCTCTTCCTCAACGTGCTGAACAGCCCACCATACCATCACTTCCAGATGAGGACCTCGATTTCGAAGTCGAAGCACTCATCGACAAGCGTTCACACAATGGGACTACGGAGTACAAGGTGTTGTGGAGAGGGTACTCAGAGGAAGCTGCTTCATGGGAACCAGTAGAGAACCTCAACTGTCCCGACCTCATCCAGGAGTATGAGGTGTCGGAGGGGGGACGAGTGAGTAGGCAGAGTGGAGAGAGGAGGAGAGAACAGGAGGAGTAGAGAGAGGAAGAGGAAGGAGGATGACGTTGAGAGAAGGAGGAAGGATGATGTTGGCGATGTTGTCAAGGAGGAGGAGTCAGCATGAACCAGACCAGAGCATGCCTCGACGGAGCTCGGCTCTTAAGAGGGGGGTAGTGTCATGGGCCTGGATGCTCAAGAAGCAGGAGGGTCATGGGTTCATATGGAAGGAGCACAGGTATCGAAGACCTAGTCGACACCAGTAGAGAGCATGGTCGTAGTGCAGTCTCCATGGAGACCATGGACTCCTATGGACTCACATGCAAAGGAGGGCCAAGCACAGCCACAAGGAGGACCAAGCTCAAGGAGCAGGCACAGCCACGAAGAGGACCAAGCTCAAGGAGCATGCAGATGGTTACCACTCAGGGGCTCGAGAGACAAGAGCCAAAGGAACTGTCACTGATCAAAGGAGGAGGAGCAGTGTCGAAGGAGTCGACACCAGGTCATGAGGAGGAGGAGCAGTGTCGACAAGAGGCACAGGGGTGCCAAGCAGGAGAGGCCCCTGAGCAGTACTCGATGAAGAAGGTACTCTCTGGAGAGAGAGCAGGAGCAGCATCGCTGGCAATGCTGTGAAGAGGTATATAACCATGCTTTCTCATCATCATAGGTCGAGTGGATCCCCATCCACTCTACTCACCATAACTAGTTATCACTTCAGCATAAGTATACATTAGTTTCAGTCAGCATAGCAGCAATCTATCAAGGTTGCTCCTCATCGTAGTGTGTGTGTTGTATCACCACTACCTGACGTCCGAAGGCGCCCATAGCAGGTTAGCGGTCCGGATATAGATAGAACCGAAGGCAGTAGTCCACTGCGGTCCGGGGATCACTTCAAAGCATCAAGTCAACACACTGGACACTCGTGTTGACGCCACCAACCTTATCACCAACACCATCAACCTCATTATCATTGACATCACCAATCTTATCATCAACACCATCAACCTCATTATCATTGACATCACCAATCTTATCATCAACACCATCAACCTCATTATCATCGACATCACCAATCTCATCACCAACACCATCAACCTCATCATCATCAACACCCACACCAGACCTTGGAGTCATCATAACATTGATATTGATCGTGCCGAGCTACCCCTGAATGGAGTGTCCACAGAGGTCAGCCGAAACCTACGATAGTATATACAACGAACGCCACCTGCTGTCACTGCACAACTTGATAGTCACCGATACCGAGACAATAGCTGTCACACAGTTTGATAGTCACCGAGTATCTCGACAGACCGACCTGGGTTTCAGGCGCGAGACCCCTGACAACTGGCATATAGGTCATGAGGAGGAAGAGCAGTGTCAAAGAGGTCAACACCCAGCTCAGAAAGGACAGAAGTGATGTCACAGGACAAGTAGGACTTGACAAAGAGGGTACTCTCTGGAGAGAGAGCTGGAGCAGTGTTGCAGGCAACACTGTAAAGATGTATATAATCATACCTTCTTGTCATAGGTGGATGAGTGGATCTCCATCCACTCTACACCATACATTACTAGTTATAGCTTACACATAAGTATACATTAGTATCCAGTCAGCAAGTTGCAATCTCAATAGATTGCATCCATCATAGCACATGTGTTGTATCACTGCTCACTGACATCTGAAGGCAGTTCAAAGAAACCTGCAGTCCAGATAATGATAGAACCAAAGGCAGTCATCCACTGCAGTCCAGGGATCACCTCAAGCACTCAGTCAACACCCTGGACACTTGTGTCAGTGATAACAGCAATCTAGCCACACCAGACCTTGGTGTTAGTACCAGTCATATTAGTTATTGATCATGCTGAGCTACCTCTGGACAGAGTGTCCACAGTGGTTAGTTGAAACCTGCAATAGCAAAACCACTACTGCATCTTCAAGCAAAAAAGGCAATAGAGATGTCTCTATTACATCTCTTGCCAAAAATTGTAATACCACAAGTGTTGTCACATATCTTGACAGAATTTGTAATAGATGCGACTCTATTACAGATATCAGGTTTTGGGCACATGACCACTGACACATGTCTGGCACAGTTACATATGTTTACAGATGTCTGGTAAGTTGGAAGTCACATGTCCAGAAGTGCATAGCACTATCAGCAGTAGAAGCAGAGTTTGTTGCTGCATCAGAAGCTGCACAAGAGGCTCTTTTCTTTTCATACCTGCTCAGAGACTTAGGAGTGCTGAACATCAAGCTGGTACTTTGCACAGATAGTCAGGGGTGCATACAGGTTAGCAGAGACCCAGCAAAACATTGGAAGCTGAAACATATTGACACCAGATACTATTTTGTTAGGGACCACAAAAAAGACAGGGATGTAATGATAGAGTATGTACAGACAGCCAAGAACATGGTGGATGTGCTAACAAAGCCACTTAAAGGGCTAGACACATCACAGTTAGCAAACTTAATAGGCCTGGGAACACCATCAAAGGGGGGAGTTAAAGATGCAATGGAATTACCAGGAGTTTAGCCAAGATGCAAGAAAGCCAAGTCACCAAGAGGCAGAAGGATGTGCATGCATGGTCAACATGTGGCAACCAATCAGGAGATGCTTGTGGGAGACAACACTGAGAAACAAGGAGACAATGCCAAGGCAACACATGGTGCACACAGTTAGTGGCATGGCAATAGGGTTTCTCAAGGACACTCAACTTTGTATATAAACAAGCAGTCTCATAGTCATAGTTCACAAATAATCTTAAGCATTGCATCGATGATACACCTGTGCGAAAGGAGCTAGAACGTAGCCCGGACGAAGTGGTGTCTAGCATAACTTCAACTTGTACTACACACTCGATCACATAAACTAATGTATTTGTGCAACAAGTCTAGCATTCCTATTGTGTACTCCAATGCTGACCACGCTGGCAGCTGGAAGGAGAACCTGTACTCAACATCTGGGTTTGCCCTTACCTTATTTGGAGGAGCAGTTGCTTGGAGGAGTAGGAGACAAAGGATCATATTAACGTCAATGGCCAAAGCCGAGACGGTCGCCCTCAGCAACATGTGTCAAGATATCATTTGGGTGCTCAATGTACTCAATGGCCTCAATATCATTGCAACGGGTGTTCCCATTGTTGAATGAGATGTCGCCTTGCATAGCTGTGGTTTGGACAAGCTGGTTTTAGGTTTGTGGACAATGGGAAGATGGTGTATTGACATGACTATCTACACAACAAGTGCAACTATTTATGTTTGCTGGGAACAGATGGGACATGCTGGTTGAGGAGTCCCAAGCCCCTCAACCCCTATTGCAATGCAGGGATGCATCACAAGGAGGTCTGTCCCCTCGACCCCTATATCGGCGATATCGGCAAACGCCGCCGATACGAGGTCAGGTCGACCTCCAACACCCATTACACTCCTAACTGACAACCAGGCTGCAGAGCACATCATATCAACCAATGGACCTGGCCGCAACAAGTTGCTCACACTCAGAGCCGCATTCATGAGGGACACAATCAAGAAAGGCATTGTTGCTGTCAAGTGGATTACAGGAGAACTGCAAGTTGCCAATGGCCTAACGAAACTACTCGATGCAAGGGGATCATCCAAGTCCCGGGAGGATTTTGGAGTCAAGGGTAGTCTAGTCGCTCACCGCTAGGAGGAGTGTTAGAGGGGCACATGTGTACCGGTCGCGTTAGACCGGTAGTGCAGTAAGGCACTGGCATACTGGCTAATAGACATCCAAGGAGGGAGGAGGCTGTTTCCACATCATGCTCTGCTTCCTATTGTAGATATATAAGGAGTGATACTTAGTCGCTTGCTGTGTAGATACCTTCACCCATCTGTACTTACTGTTTGCTGCTGTTGCATGCAATCAAAGCCGCGTCTTACCACACAAGTCCGTCGTCTTTCAACACTATCAACATCTTGCTGGATCATACCCTTCAGCATGGGAGGCCAATACTCCCACCTTCAACGGCCTTTCTCTCCTATATATATATATATCGAGCAGAGAGCTCCAGTCTGATACACTGCTCCAACCAGGTCAATAGAGTATAGATTTTCTGCGCCAATAGCAGTAGTACTGTGCTTTGACTTCTACCGCTTGTTGAGTGTCGGCGGTTATCCTTGTCTTAGCTAGGTTTTGTTGAAGTATTTGCACTAACACATTTGTGTGTCGTTTGAGCATTGGCATTCTCATCCGGCATGTGGTCAAAGAGACAGGACAATGTGAAGACGAGTCTTGATTTTGCGTTTTGTACGACAGAATGCGGTCAAGGCGTCTTTGTCAAGGAAAGCTTGCCCAATTCTCAACGCAGATGGTCTGATACTGTTTGGCAAAAGGGATGGTGTGCATTGTATTGGATTATGTCTGGTGAAAGGACGAGCGATCGGCTGGTCTGGTTCCGTTCTGTAGCTCGCGAATGAGTTGGCAGGCCTGTTGCTGAACATCGCCACCTTCTCTAAAAAGCCTGAAGACGGTGCTGCGAGGAAGCATGCTTGTGGCCTTGTTGAGGCGAGTCTGGAAAGTTTGCGCCTGTCTCATCTCTTGCTCTGAGAGAGTACGAGAAGATTGTGCGGCCTCAGCGGCTTGGCCAGTGTATTTGGCTGTCGGCAAGTGCAATGCGGTGGGTGCTTTTGGGGGATAGGATGTGTCGAAGAACTCTGGCTCGGGTGCCTCGACGCAGCGTGCTTGTGCTGGTTGTGTCAGGGCACTTTGAGGCGCTTTGGGCAAGGCGTCGTCGATACTGCTGGAAACGCTGGATAGTCTATCGGTCGAAGATGCTGCTGAGAAGGAGGAGACCTCCTCTTTGGCAACGCTGGGGCTGCTCACGTCGCGAATAAAGACGCCTCGTACTTGCGAAGGACGCTGGGCAGCTAATGCACAGTAAAGCTCCAAGTCTAGCTCACCAGAATCACCAATGAGGATGAATTGAGAAGTGCGGAAGTCGTCGAGAATCTTGAGGAGGTTGGCTCTTTTTCTCTCTCCTGCTGGCTCGAGCCAGCTGGACAGCAAGCTTCGTGCACCACTCGGATAGTGCTTCAGGACGAGATGACTGATGGGGAGTCGGACAGCTTCAAGAAAGTCGAGGACAAGACTATAAAGTTCGAGCGGAGCGTTGGTAACGTAATGAAGACCAGCACCCAAGTCAGTCATTGCATGGTACCAGGAGGAAATGCCTTTGACTTCGGCTTCATGGTAAGGTAGCACAAAGACGTTGCGAAGGATCTGCTTTGCGCCCTGAACAACGCCAGTGTGCTTGACTGTGTCGTCGATGTCAGAGATGATCCTGACACGCCGGGCGTGGTCCTCATGGATGGAAGAGCGTCGCCATGGAGACTCGGCGCCAGTTGCATCGAGATTTTCAGACTTTGAGGTTATGAGACTTGCTTTCACGTCGACCGCCTCTATCTCGTTGGGCGTAACTTTGAGCAAGTCGGCATAGTGGCGGCAGAATGCAGAGAGCATATGCCAAGGTACAACGAGGCGATGCTCGAATTGGCCGGTGGAGTCGGTCGTGAGACGGGTGGAAGCTATGATGAGACGATTGCCATCTTGGTCGCATGTAATGTTGCCGTTGATGATAGGAGAGACTTGGATGAAGACATGTTTGTGAGGCGAGCGATACACCCAATAAGCTTGCAAGCGGCGGGTGAGATTGTGATGGAAGACAGTTACCTCATCTAGGCTGCGGTTGAGCCATTGTGCTGAGCCCCCGGAGAGCATGCTGTCGGTTCTCTTTGGTCGCTGAGGGAAGGTATCGGATCTGTGCAGGTGAACGGGGCTTGGATCGCCTTCCTTGGCAGCCTGATGCGCGGCGGCAGAGTCAGTGGGGAAAGCGTTGAGGTTCTCCATGAGGCGGACCAGAGTCTGATCGTCGGCATTCTCGATGACCTTGCGTGCGATTCTCTCGGAAGCGTGCAGGTGGCCGGGAGGCTCGCCATCTGCTGGAAGAGGCTCATCATCCTCGATCTGTTGTGGCTCCTCTACCAAGGGCGCAGAAGAAGAATCGAGGATAGCAGCGTCTGAAGGTTGAGGTTGTATGCGAGGAAGGCTTGCTAGCTGACGTGCCATCTGGTTGAAGATGCGTTGGCTCCTACTGGGAGCATCTAGGGACCTTGAGACGAAGCCGTGTAGGGAGATGTGGAGCTCGATCTCGCCATCTTGGAGATCTTCGGGAGCGTCAACGGTAGCCCAGCCTTGCGGATGACGGTCACGGGCGACTCTACGTTGTGCCCAACCTGGTAGGAGAACGACGCTATCGAGTCCTGCACGGGCCGACATGTCTCGTATACGTGGTAGCGAAGAGGTTGAGGAGAAGTTGGGGGACTGGGCCAGTGCGTTACGTGCAGACGCCGCGGAGGTGGAAGGAAACTGGAGCTTGGCGCTCGCTTGCCAGTCTCGCGTCGCAAGATAGCCTACGCTAGAGGTGAGGAGAGAGGCTGCTCTGCTGCGGATGCGGAATCGGCTCATACTGGAAGGGTCCTGAGAGGTGCGATTGTAGCAATTGTCATCTTGATTCATGTGGTGCAAGATATCTAGAAGGGGGAGCCGACGAGTTGCATGGTTCTGCGAGCCGCTTAGTTGTTGGGGTGTCAGAAAAGAGACTCAAGCATGCAATGGACCGGGAGTCCTGGATGAAATGATGTAGGCAAGGGAGAGATGGTCGAAGATGGTGTAGCTCGTCGTGCAAGAGGATGATGGTCAGTGCTTTTTTTGATGTTTGTCGGTTGGCCGAATTCCGAATTCCGAATTCCAAAGTCCGACTTCCGAGGTCCGACTTCCGAGGTCCGGATTCCAAAATTTCGAGATCCTCCAAAAGTGTGCGGAGAGAGAAGTGGTGAAATTGGAGAGTTGGAGCAAGAAGAAGTCTAACAGCTCTGAAAATTATGTATGCACGAACCACGGACCAGATGAGATGGAAAGAGAAGAAGAGCAGCCGGCTGTGAAAGTCAAACGAATCAGCTCACCAGCGCTTCGGGTCGATGCCTTGAAGAGTGCGGTGATGAATGCGTCGACGCTGATGATGATGATGGAGAGAGGAGAAGAGAGGAATGGGCAAAGAGGTCGGTGAAAGGAATCAGACATGGTCCTTTGTATCTCAACGGAGAAGGCCGATAACCTAACCCTTTTTTTCTTTTCTTTTTCTTTTCTTTTTCAGGAAAAGGCGGAATCGCTGTCTGGAATATAACCAGAAAATGGATTTTCATCTTGGATCTTCCAAACAGCAACAGCGGAAACAGCCAGCCCGCCACCCCCAACCAGTTGAAGTTTTCGTATGATTGATGATGGTGCTAAGTACAGATGCAAGTCAAGAATTTTCAGATTTTCACTACTTGCACACACTCAGTGCACGTGCACATGCACACTGCTGTGCCCTCTATTCTGCAAGCCCTTTTACTCAGCTGTGAATACTACCTCTATGCTTTGTGCAGCTTTATCTACTTCAACTCCCCCCCTCAACAGCATATGTACTCTGTTCATTGTGCTGTTGCTGTTTGACATGTCCTCCATGCTTCAGTACTGTTGCATAGCTTGGGGGTCCCATTCCGTGTGCTGCCAGTATTTGCAGATGTAGCCTGGATTGTGCTTGTTGCATCACTTGCCTTCCAATGGGCTTGGTGAGTACATCTGCTAAGTTTCATGTTGTGTCCACATACTTAATCTGCACCTTTCCTTCTTGGATGTTGTTGTGAATGAAGTGAAACTTGGTGTTGATGTGTTTGAGCTTCCAGTGCTGTGCTGGGTCCTTACTCACCTGTATGCAACCAGTGTTATCCAAGTAGACTGTTGGGGTCCCTGTAGCAATGCCAATTGAGCATAGCAATTGCTTGAGGAAAAGTACCTCATGTGTTGCCTCTGTGGCAGCAATGAATTCCACCTTGACAGCAGACAATGATACACATTTTTGTGTTGCTGACTTCCAGGCTACTGGGTTCCTGTACACCAATGCCACTGACCCTGAGGTACTCTTTCTCTGTATGGTGGCATCACTTGCCCAGTTTGCATCACTGTGTGTGACCAGTGGCTCTTGCAATTCACTTGCTCTATAGACCAATCCCACCTCCTTTGTGCTTTTGAGGTAGCATAAGACCCATTGGGCTGCCTGATAATGCTCCTGCAATGGTTCTCACATGTGTCTGGCAAGAACTCCTACAGTGAGACTAAGATTGGGCCAGGTGCTGTTGGCAACCCAGAGTAGCTTGCCAACAATCACTGGATACTCCTTTTGTTGCACTGTGCTTGCAACAAGGGTTCCCTCCAGTATACTCTGCATTGGAACCATGGTTGGCTTTGTACATTTGTCCAGGTGCTTTGCCAGCACTTGATCAATGTACCCTGACTGACTGATTGTCATGGTGCACTTTGCACAGTCTTGACTACTTTTGATGCCTAAGAAGTGAGAGACTTTGCCACTATCTTCCATCTTCCATTTCTGGCTGATCTGCTTCTTGATCTTTAGCACTGTCTCCAGTCATGGTGCTATGACTAATGTATCATCGACATAAATGACCACAATAGCCATATCTTCACCCTGTCCCTTAGTGTAGATGCAGGGAGTGCACTCTACCTGGAAGAATCCCATGTGTCGCAAAGACCTCTCGAATTCCTGGTTCCATTCTTGACTGGACTGCTTTAGGCTGTACAGGCCCTTGACCACTTTGTATACCTGTCCAGGTGCTACTCCTGATCCCTCCAGTGGTTTCATATAGTTCACTTCTTTTAACCTGGAGTTTAAGTAGGCCATCGTGATATCCAGTGCATGCACCTCCCAGTTGTTCTGTACTGCTAGCACTAGGATAGCTCTGATTGCTCCGAGGGGCACTACTGGGGAGAAGGTTTCCTGGTAGTTGATTCCCTCTCTCTGTGTGAAACCCCTTGCAACCAGTTGTGCCTTGTGCTTTATGGGCACACCATCAGCATTGAGCTTTAGCCAGAGCACAACCTTAGAGTCCACGAGTGGTACTCCTGGCAGGTGATTCACCACCTCCCAAGTCCCCATTGCCTTGAGTCCTTCCAGCTCTTTTCATATTGCCTCCTTCCAGAGCTGGGCATCCTCACCATTCATTGCCTCTCCAAGTGTTGGGTCCAGGTTCAGCACTGCTGTGTTGGCAGTGCCTACTGTGCTGTCCATGGCTGGCAGAAGGTCCTCCACCACAGCCTCTGATCTGGTCTCCTCCTCCACTGTGGTTGGTGCAGCACCCTCCTCCTCGACTTCCATGGGCTTGCATGCCTCCTGCTGGTGATCACTCCATCCTTTGTCTTCATGGAACATTGCTGAGTTGCTCCATTGAATTGATGTGGGCTGGTCCAGGTTGCAGAACTTCCATGCTTTGTGCTTGTCATTGTACCCAATCATGATGGCTGGCTTTGCTCTAGCCCCATACTTGCCTTGCTGGTCCTTCCATTGAACATGGACCCATGCCAGGCACCTGAAAACTTGCAGCTGTTGGGCCAGTTTGTGCATGGTGGTTTCTGTAAAAGGCCTCATGGGGAATGGTCTTGGTGGCTGATGGGGGTGAGGTTCATCATGTGTGCTGCTGCTGTGATTGCGTACAGCCACAACTCTCTGGGGCAAGCTTGACCAATGAGCATTGAGTGCATCTTTTCTTGGACTGATCTGATTGCTCTCTCTGCCCATCCATTTTGGATGCTGATCCCCAGGATGCTCTTTTGCCACTTGAAACCCTCTTGAGTTTGCCAGTCTTTGGCTGCTATGCTGCACCATTCTCCTCCATTGTTGCTGCAGAGCATTTTGAGTTTCCTGTCCATTGCCCATTCCATCCTGGCTATTCACCTCCTCAGTGCCATGAGTGCAGCACTCTTGGTGCAGAGTGGTTCCATGTAGATCAGAGAGGAGAAGTTGTCCACAGCAACTAGTGCATAGTGGTAGTTGGCATGACCTTTGAAATCTGTCATCAGGTCTATGTGTACCAGCTCTAATGGTGCTTCTGTTCTTTCTGACTCTGATTGGCCCATCTGTGCTTGAGTCTGTTTTCCTTGGCTACATGTGTTACAGCACTTCGACTCATGTCCCATTTCCTCATTGGTACCTAGGTAATGAGCCCAGATTTGTCTCATTTTGTCTCATCCTGGGTGTCTGAACCTCTCATGCCATAGGTAGCTGTCTCAATGCTTTGTGTCCTTATAGCCCTCTGGGGCATTATCTAGTTTTCCTGTGTTCTGGTTGTCCTCTGGGACATTGTCGAGTGTCTCTTCCAACTCCAGGGCTAGTGCCTTTCCCTGTACTTTGAACTGCCCTTTTCTTCTGTTCCTCTTGTATTGTATTTGTGTGCCATCATTTTGCTTAATGATGGTTCCAAACTCATCGAAAGTTACCCATGCACCATTCTCAATCAAGCCTTGTACTGATAATAAATTAGAATTAAGTTTCAGCACATAGAGCACATCCAATAGTTGAATGGTTACATTGCCAACCCGAAGGGAGGCATCTCCTATGGCCTTCACTTGAAGCCTTTCATTTCCAGCCATACAGATCTGACCATCCTTGTGCATTGAGGTGAGCAGCATTCTTTCATCATTCACCATGTGGTGCATCACACCCAAATCGACGATCCAGGTGTCTGATGTTGGTTGCTCATCCCCACCGATTGCTAGGAGGGTGCACCTGAGTTCCTACCAACTAGCTTCTTGTGCTGGATTGGTGGTGGGTCCATCCATACTTGGTGCAGAGTTGTTGTTGGTGTTCGTGCAGTTGCAAGCAATGTGATTAGGTCCTCCACAAGCATAGCACTTTGGAGGGGCTGAGGGGTTGCAAGGATTGCGCCTGCCCCTGGGTCCTTGCTCCACCTGGTTGGTGCTCCCCTGTTCCATGCTTGTGGCAACCCTTGCTGCTCCTCTAATATGGCCAGTGACCTCACCATCCTGTTGCTTCTTTGCTAACATGTGGTAGGCTTCATCATACTTACAACCTGGTTTGGCTGTCTTGAGGGCATCAACAGAGTTGGCATAGAACCAATCTTGTGCTGTGCAATGGTATAGGGTGGATTTCTTGAGGTCCTTGTCGAGTCATTTCCCAAGTTGCACAGTGTCATTCCAGATGGAGTCCAGTTCCTTGCCTAGCTTGATGACATCATGATTGTACAGATGTATGGTATGGATGCAGTCCTGCAGGCCCACTTGTTTTACTGTGTTGTTCAACATTAGCACCTTCTTGAGCTTAGCATATAGTGTACTACCAAGTTGGACATGTTCATCCACACCCCTAATGGTGTATGTATTGATGCAGCTCTCTGGACTGTGATCACAGGAGGTGTGGATAAGACCTACAAGTGCCTTGTCCAAGTCCCCATCATACCCCTCACTTCCCAGTGCTATCTCACCATACAGGATTTCCTTTGCATTGCATACTCATTGCAGACAGTTGATGAAGGTAGGCTCCCAGGTGTGCCAGTTGCTATTGCTAAGTTTCTTAATATGGGCAATTGAGCTCGAGACATCCTTGGGAATCTTTTCCATCTCTCCCTGTGGGGTTTGATTGCTAATGGTGACAAGACCCATCACCCACACTATTGCTTCCTCTGCTGTCAGTGCTGGGTTTGCTAACTGTAAGATTCTAACTACCTGCGTGAGCCAACCCTCCTCTTGACCATTGCCTGCAGCTGCAGCTGCTTGATCATCATCTCTCTCATCCCTTCCAGTCTGCCCTGCTCTTGTCAATGGCAGCATTATGCTAAGCATCAGACTCTTGATGTATTGAATGTCATGGGTTCGAGCCCCACATTGGGAGCCAGTTGAAGTTTTCATATGATTGAGGATGGTGCTAAGTACAGATGTGAGTCAAGAATTTTCAGATTTTCACTACTTGCACACACTCGGTGCACGTGCACATGCACACTGCTGTGCCCTCTATTCTGCAAGCCCTTTTACTCGGCTGTGAATACTACCTCTATGCTTTGTGCGGCTTTATCTACTTCAACTCAACCACCCGCCAACGCCAGCCCGCCAAACCCCAAGGCTGGTGTGTGTCTGGTGTCCACTCTCACATCCAGACAGAGTTCCTCTCAACCGCATTCAGCACTCTTGCTAAGCTCTCGAGTAGACATCTGTCTGCCAATCCACGCTGCATCATCACTTGTCACACTCGCTCAAGTGTTCGGGTCACTGTTCTGAGATCGTAGACACGTTACACAGTTTCAACTCGACGTCGTCCTGGATTCAGGATACTCGCTTCACCTCTACAGCTTCCTTTCTCTAGCTCAAGAACCCATCACCATGGCCAACGGCATCGAATCTCCCGCTATCCCTCCCAAGGGTGACACCTCTTGGAAGATCACCAACAAGATTGCAAAGGCCGAAAAGGAAGGCCGCATCTGGTGGAGTTTCGAATACTTCCCTCCTCGTACTGCTCAGGGTCTCACCAACCTCTATGACCGTATTGAGCGCATGGCCGACCTCGGCCCCGAGTTCGTCGACATCACCTGGAATGCAGGTGGGCGAACCTCGGATCTTACCGCTTCGCTAGTCAAAACCGTTCACACCTACATCGGTCTTGAGACATGTATGCACCTTACCTGCACCAACATGCCTCGCGAGAAGATCGACAGGGCGCTCAAGGAGGCCAAGCAGTTTGGTTGCCGTAACATTCTTGCCCTTCGAGGCGACCCTCCTGCAGGTCAGTCTGAGTGGGAGCCTCACGCTGCCGGCTTCACCCGAGCCAAGGAGCTCGTAGAGTATATCCGTCAGCAATACGGAGACTACTTTGCCATCGCTGTTGCTGCTTTCCCCGAGGGTCACCCTGAGGCCTTCCATGGTCCCGGCAAGGAGCTCGAGCGTCTCAAGGAGAAGATCGACGCTGGCGCTGACTTCATCTTTACACAGATGTTCTACGACTTTGACATCTTTGCCAAGTGGCTCAAGGAGGTTCGTGCTGCTGGCATCAACTGCCCCATCATCCCCGGTGTCATGCCCATCCAGACCTACGGTGGTTTCCAGCGCGCCACTGCTCGCTTCGGCACCCTTGTGCCCCAGTACTTCCATGATGCCCTCGACCCAGTCAAGGATGACGACCAGAAGGTACGAGACGTCGGCACTCGCCTCGTTGGTGAGATGTGCAAGAAGATCGTCGGCTCTGGTCTCGGCATCAGCGGTCTTCACATCTACACCATGAACCTCGAGAAGGGCTCGCGCATGCTCCTCGACTACCTTGGCCTCACTCCCTCCGTCAACCAGGTCAGTCCACTTCCATGGACACCAAGCCTTACTCCCAAGAGGCGAGATGAGAAGATTCGTCCCATCTTCTGGGCCAACCGTGCCAAGAGTTACGTCAACCGTACCGAAACCTGGGATGAGTTCCCCAACGGTCGATGGGGCGACGCTCGTTCGCCCGCTTACGGCGATGTTGACGCTTACGGTGTCAAGTTGAGATACTCGAATCAAGAGGCCAAGCAGATGTGGGGTAATCCCACCAGTCTTGAGGATGTCAAGGCGCTCTTCCAAAACTTCTGTGCGGGTCAGGTCAAGGCACTTCCATGGTCCGAGACGCCTGTTGCGCGCGAGACTTCGGTGATCAGTGACAAGCTCACCAAGATGAACGAGCTCGGTTTCTTGACAATCAACTCCCAGCCTGCTGTCGACGGTGCTCGTAGCGACGACAAGGTTCATGGCTGGGGTCCCAAGAACGGCTACGTCTACCAGAAAGCTTACCTCGAGTTTTTCGTCTCTCCAGAGCATCTCGATGCCTTGATCGCCAGAATTGAGGCAGACCCGCAAATCACCTACCACGCCGTCAACTCACAGGGTGACATGCGTACCAACACCAACTCGGAGGCTCCTAACGCTGTCACCTGGGGTGTCTTCCCGCACTGCGAGATCATCCAGCCTACCATTGTCGAGTCGATCTCCTTTTTGGCGTGGAAGGATGAGGCCTATGAGATCGGACGCAACTGGGCCAAGGTGTACGAACCCTCTTCGCCATCGCGCAAGTACCTCGAGGAGATGTTCAAGAGGTACTTCCTAGTCAATGTTGTTCACAATGACTTCAAGGCTGCCGACGCCATTTTCGAGCCTTTCTTGAATGCCGCCAAGACTGCAGCTGTCAACGGCTCGCTTTCTAGCATCGGCTCGACTGTCGCTGATGCCGCTGGCCATGTCACCAATTCGATCTCTTCGCTGACCAACGGCCTTTCGAACGGACACACTGCCGCACCTGCACCGGCAGCATAAGCGGCTTGCACACCATAGCTCGATTGGTAGCATGCATCAACTGCGTGTCTCCAGTGCATAGAGATCTTTTCATATCTCTTCTTCTTCTTCTTCTTCTTCTTCTTCTTCTTCTTCTTCTTCTTCTTCTTCTTCTTCTTCTTCTTCTTCTTCTTCTTCTTCTGCATTACATCAACATTACAACTTGGTTCATTGGACATTCTCGGGGCTTCTCAACGTAACGTCACGCAATCTTCTTGTTTGCTTTCAACAAGGCATCTCTTAAGATACCTCATTCCACTCTTGCATCTCTCACTCTCTGTTCGGGCACTTTGTCTTTGATCATATACTCGTCCCTTCCCATCTGCTTGTCTCCTCTGCAATGCTGTTCAACATCTGCACAACCCATACAACCAGCCAGCCAACACTGGTGATCTGCATACAATCGAGGAAGCAGCCATCTGAAGCGAGTCCAAGCTGGGCCCAGAGATCGGCGGCCGATGAACAAAGATGAAGCCCGATTCTAATTCTAATCCCGATTCTAATTCGAATTTGGCGATAACTCCACATTTCTGGCGCACTGACTGACACATTACGCAGCTCAGTCTCGATTTCAAGCTTGGATCTCAACCACCATCCTTGAGGACATATCCACCGCCTCGTCCCGCACCATTCAATACTCATAGCGAGACAGTCGAATGCATCAAACTTTTCTGGTTCAGCCGCAACTCCGTCATTCACCACCACCACCAGCACAGGAAAGCAATCATGGTCAGCCTCACCACTTCCGACAACGAGCAATTCACCGTCGACCGCGATGTCGCCGAGCGATCCGTCCTCATCAAGCAGATGCTGGAGGGTAAGCTTTCAGCGGAGATCTTGCTTCAGTGCTGCTAGCTGCGCTCCCGGAAACGAAGCCAAAGACAGTCGCTGACTGTTTCTCTCTACTTGTTTCCCACTCTTGATCGCCGACAGACATTGGAGACACTGACCAGCCCATCCCGCTCCCCAACGTCTCTTCCAACGTGCTCAAGAAGGTAGGATCGACGCAGTGCACAGCTAACGAGACCGTTCGGATCTGAGCTCAGACTTTGACGTTGCGATTTTCTTTCTTATCTTCTTCACCAGGTCCTCGAATACTGCTCTCACCACCGCAGTGACCCCCCTGCTCCCGCCGACGATGCTGAGGAGTCACGCAGACGCACAACCGACATCTCGGACTGGGATGCCAAGTTCATTCAAGTCGACCAGGAGATGCTCTTCGAGATCATATTGGCAGCAAACTATCTCGACATCAAGCCTCTCCTTGATGTGGGCTGCAAGACTGTGTAAGTTCAACGTGCAAGATGAGCTTAGCTGCTTGAGTAAAGCTAGAGTGTGCACACCCAGATTCTGACAATCATGATGCTCTCAACCCCACATTCTCGTCCTTCAGCGCAAACATGATCAAGGGCAAGACTCCTGAAGAGATTCGAAAGCTCTTTAACATTCAGAACGACTTCTCGCCAGAGGAAGAGGCTCAGATCCGAAAGGAGAACGTAAGTGCACATGCTGCCTGACCTGCTCACTTCTATGGAACAGCTTGATACTGACATCAACTCAATTACTTTCCCATCCTTTTTGCATCTACTTTCGCTCAATAGGAATGGGCTGAGGACCGTTGAGCGAGCGAAACGTGTTTTGTGCCTGTTGTACGTTCAGCTGCCAACATGCAGAGCAGCAACCTTGATCTCCATCATCTTTGACTTGAATGCTTCCAAGTTTGTGCCCGCCTGTGTCTGAGCGCGGGAAGCGGATCAAAGCGGCTAGCCACTTGGCTATCTTGAGACTTACATTCGGTCCCAAAGGTGCTTCTGCGCTTTCTGAAGCACCGAGCAATCCCGGCTAGGCAGTCCTAGTGTTTGCCAGCCTTTGTTCGTGTGTCCCGGAGCGGTGAGATTCGCCGATGCGTTTGAGGTGTCAGCAGGCTAATCAAGATACAGATAAAGCGTTTCCATGCCTTTGCAGTAAGGTGTGCTAATGGCTGCTCCGTTTGGAGACGGAATGAAGAGATGTTGACAGCTGTTCCTCTTGATCACGGAGACACTTTCTCTGATTGGGCTGCTACCCTGCTCCTCTGTTGCTGTTGAAAGACACAGAACTGCTCGAGCCCTGCTCGAGTCCAGTCTCTCTCACAAAGCATAGTTGCAACACAGAGCCTAGTCGCACCACTTCCGCATGTCGTCTCTCCATTCGCCTCAGCCTCTCGTCGGGTCTGATGGACGAGGGCACTGAATATGTAGTTGGCCTTTCCCTTCCTTCCTTCCAGTGCGCAGCTTCACAAAGTACTTAAAGATGGCCCCAACAACATTCTCTATCCTCGCTCCTCAGAGCAGCTCCGAATGCCTGACTAAGAATGCTCTCATCAATTGACCTTTACCATTCACCGACTGCTGCATCATCGCGGCTTGCAGCACGTTCACCTCCTTCAGCATCCTCAATGAAAGTCGCGCTTCCGTCGCCTAGGCCATCATCCTCAAAGATCGTACTTGCCGCTCCTACTCGGTCAACTTCTCAGGTCCGGCACTCTGCATCTCCCTCGCCTGATTCAAAGACCGAAGTGGACTCTGCAAGCTCACGAGGAAAAGGAAAGCGTTTGAGAAGAGCACAGGCATGTGACATATGTCGTAAGTCTTGTCCTCCTTTGGCTTGCTTTGATTTGTATGTCTTTACCAACCTTTGTCTATTTTGCACCGTGTCGCTATCTGTAGGTGGTAATCATCGAAAATGTAACGGACCAATGCCTGGGTCGACCTCATGTGGACGATGCATTACACAACACAAGATCTGTACATGGAACTTCAGCAAAGAACGATGCACTCGTCAACGATGCACTTGCGTTTCTTGCAAGACTATCGGGATGCATATCAAGCAATCTAAGTCAGCAAAAGGGGCAGTTTGTAAAGGTACAAGCCCCAGTGCGTCTTTTTCATCCTGTTGCGGGTCGAGCGAGACATGTTCTCCTCCCAACACACCTTCTGATGGATCACATCAGTTACGACTGCCTTTAGTGGAGTACGGACAAACAATCGCACAGAATGCAAGAGTAGCATTCACATCCAATCCCTCTCTCCAGTGGGAGCAAGCACTGGCTCGAAAGCAAAAACCACTTATGCCATTGAGCCAAGAATTGCCCCATTTTCACTTTCACTCGGAATGCATAGCACTGGCCAACAAATACAACTTGCTCATTTATACGCTCCCTCTAACACCGTGGGATGAAAGCAGACCAAGTGAAGCGACCATCCCTTCGCAAAGAGGCTTGTCGTGTACCATTCCAAGCTGGATACAACCTGCACCGAGTAGGAAAGAAGCAGCCGATATTTTACGCGCTTTGCTTGAGGCTGGCAGTGATGTTGAAAGCGATGTAGGGTTCGGGGTGGCTAGTTGGACTGCTGTGCCTGCTGTTCTCTCTGGGTCGTACGCCAGTGATGGTGGGGGTGAATTATGGGATGATGAAGAGATGGCACAACGAGTGCGAGCTTCGCGTAGCTCTGCAGATGACGATTCGGATAGGGATAGCGTTGGCGAGTCCGTGCTAGCTCAGAAGGGCATGCCTATCGACATGGACGTGGAAGAGAATGCTTCCTTGGAGCGGGAGCCTGAATCCTCCAGCGCACCGCGTGGTTCTTCACACCTTGACTGTCAGTTTCCGCTCCAACACCCCGAGCAACAGAGCATGAACTCTGGCATTGATCCATTCCTCCTCACCGCCTGCCACAGCTTTTCAACGCCTCCGCAGGCTTCACCAGAGACTCCATGGTCGAGCATCAAGAACAGCATCTCTGAACGCAATGGCAGCTGTAGAAAGAAAGAGGAGGATGCTTTTTGGCAGGAAGGAATACCTGCTGTGTTGCAAGAAGCGTCAAACCCAAACGCTTTACAAGAATCTTTACAATCCTTGTCCGAGTAAACGCAATTGCCTCATCCCAACAGCCTTCAAATCGCTTGATCTCATCTTGCACGCTCCTCAACATGCAACGAATTCGGGTCTGTAGATGCTGGGATATGAAAGTATGTTTGTGCAGAAATATGATGATTGCCAAAGTAACATGTGCCTGTGTGACTTGAGGTGGGAGTTAGCTAATCATGTCTTGTTGCTAGCAGCGATAGAGTTTCTCAAGGGCCATTGTTTGTTTGAGGCGCAGATGGTTTGCTACGAACACGTCTTACGCTGCCCTCTTTGTCTGCGTCGAGGTCTTGGCCAGCTTCGCCAGCCTCTGCACGGAGAGCAGCGAGCTCCTGGTCTCCATCGACGCTGCCATCTTGCTCATCCTCATCGTCGCTCCCACGATCACTGTCATCAGCCTCATCGTCATGCTTAGCACTTGCTCGGTCCTCATCGTCGCTTCCGCGGGCTGCACCAGCGTCAGCATCTGCATCATCTGCATGAGGAGCGCGTAATGCATCTTGACTATCACCAAGCTCCTCAACATCAGCACCGTTGGGCGCAGGACCTTCTTGCTCAGGCAAAGGCTCGTCCATCTCCTCATCGCTCGGTTCGTACGGGTCAAGCTGTCCAAGATCGTCGACCAAACTTCGTGCATAAAGCCTTTTGAGCTTCTCCCTCTCCTCCAACTGGCGATGGGAGAGAACGATAGCATCCCATTTATCATGATATCTTCGGTCCCTGTTGCGTAGTTTCTCGTTATTGGCGAAACGAGAGCGCCAGACACGGAGTGTGAAACGCATTCCGACCTTATGGTAGTAGGCACGTGCTTTGGGACGAGGTTGACTGGTGATATCTTCTCCATCCGGATGTTCGCTACGTTTTTTGCCTTTGGTGGCGGCGGATGTTCGAGATCGTTTTTGACGTTCGTATTCAGATTGAGGTGGAAGGGTCGAATCAACCGTGTTGGCTGCGATGTCTTCGACGGCCTCCTCTTGGCCGACGTCCTCTTGGTCGGCGTTCTCTTGGTCATGGTCAGCACCGAAGAGATCTTCGTCTTGATCATGGTCAGCACCTGAAGGCTTGGATGGGGCGGTTTTGACACCTTTGATCGGATCAACATCTGCATCTGGATCAGGATCAGGAAGACCATCGTCGAGAGTGAGAAGCAAAACATCGTGAGCAGTCTCTGCGGTATCCTTGGGCACATAGTCACGGGAGAGCTTGTATGCGGTAGCGTAGTCTTTCTTGACAAGTTTGCTGGCAGGTGCATTTTGGTCGTCTGCATCTTGGTTCTGTGGAGGGATGGGGAATCGGCCTGTCCTTCTCCTCTTTCGAAGTCTGCGTGCGTTGTTTTCTTCGACTTGAGGGTTGTCGATGAGAGTCATGGGCGCTTCTGGATCCTCGTTGATCTCTTCACCTGCAGGCAGGTAGTAAGAAACACGCTGTTCGCCATCTGCAGCATTGACAGGACGAAAGAGACCGACATCGAGACGAGGATCGACTTGAGGAAGACCATTGAGGATGCGACCTGGGTGGTCGATGAAACGAACGACTTGATAGTTGGTAGCCCAGGTCTCTGGATCGGGAAGAAAGTCGAAGAGCTGCACTGCCTTGAGACCGCTCTTGTGTGGATGAAGGAGAGTGCCAAGAGGCTTCTGAGCATCCTTAAACGACTTTTCGATCTTGGCGAGCTGAGCATGGCGCGAGACGTCGATGTGTTCTGCGACTTTGGCTTTGTGAACTTGGTTCTGAGCTTTGAGATGCGTGCCGAGATACTCGGTTCTTCGCAACCAAGAGACGTCGTCAGCAGCGAGAGCGGCTTTGGCACCAGGACCGAGGGATTGTGCGTGACGATGCTGGATAGCTGCGGCTAGAGTGGCTTGCGAGGCTGGGTCATCGGTAGCTTTCAAAGAGGTGATCAGACCGATCGCACCTGTAGCAGAGTTGGCAGTGGCGGCAGGAGCAAGATTGGCGGCAAAGTCTTGAAGAAGAAAGGCATCTGCATCGTCGAGATCTGCCTCATCGACTCTCTCTGATGGAGGAAGGAGGACTTCGTCGAGATCGCCTTCCCACAAGTTTTGGAAGTTGGCAAGATCGATGGGCATACCAGCATGAACGTCGACAATCATGGGGATAGGCTGTTGACTAGCGAGACGATCGGCAAAGTGTGGGTTGGCGTATCTAGATGGTTCCGAGGGGATCTTGACCAGTTTTGGTGGGTAAGGTGGAACAGGGATCGGGTTGGGGTATTTGACTCTGTCGATGAGCTCACGCTTGGAGGAGCGAAAGCCAGAGGCAGAGCCTGATGAGCTTCCACCCGTAGCAGCACCTGTGCCATTCGAGTAGGACATGGCTACAGAGGTGCGAATATGAATGAGAGGATGACGGTATTGTTGTCGTCGTCGTCGTCGTCGTCGTCGTTGAACAAGAAGCGAGCAAATAAACGCCGATGCCAAGATTGAGAAGAATTGACATTCTCTTGCGCACGTCCCTTCCCTCACACAGCAGAAGCGGAGACTACAGCCAACTCTCGAGACGCGTTTCGGAGCCGACTTTTTATTAAAACAAATGTGAAGTAATAAAGATCTAACAACTGCAGAATGGTGCCAAGATGGAGAAGAATAGTTGAAGATGCACCGACATCGCCAACGCGTGATGTATTAAATAGGAGCTCACAGGATCGGGGAATCGGGAAGGCATCAGGCGATGAGGAGGACAAGCAGAATGCAAAGCTAGTGGGAGCTAACGCAGCCTATGCATGAGGATTGACACCATGGTATGCAGGGAATATGTTGATATGACAACACTTATGAAAGAAGATATGTGGCACATGGGCATGACTCGACATAGGGAGCACAGTCAGGTGCCAAGAATATGTATATATGCCCTTAGCTTAGTCGTTACCTCCTTACAAAATTTAAGCCTTTCACATAGTAGCATCAGACTAAAGGAGTGCCTGACTGTGGCCTCCTGAGTGGTGTATCTAATTTTAACTGGCTCCCAACATGGGGCTCGAACCCACGACATTCAGATATGGCGGGAGATAACGACCGCCAAGCCAGCACAGGTGAAGCAGCCAAGAGGACAAGAAAAGGTAAAACGCCACAACGAGTACAAATTGACAAAGAGGTCACTGACAGTAACGAAACCGAGTATTTTGACAATGAGGATGAAGGAGGATCAGAATCGGACGACGATGACGACCGATACGATTACCGCACCTTGGCCAAAATCTTGGAGACAGTTCCCAAGCTCACGTCACACAACTACTATAGTTGGAGCACACTCATCAAGGCCAACCTCTGAGTAGTCCCTCATGCCACACGACACTTAGAGGGCATGTACGATAGAAACCACCCGAAATGGAACAGAACTTTTGACAACGCCCTAGTGGGTGTCCTATGAAGCACCTTAGACACCAAAGGAGAGTACAACGTCCTTTACCTCCTACTCGACATCAGCAAGAATCACCTGACCTGCCATCAAGCTTGGAAGAAGATCGAAAGGAGTCTTACCAGCGAGGCAGCTAGAACCTCGCGACGGATAGCATTACTTGCCGAGCTCAATGAGACAAAGATGTTTCATGCTGATGCCCGTAAGCTAATCAAAGAGATCAGGGTCATACAGACGGAAACTAGCCTCCTAGGTGCCCCAATTAGTAATGATGCACTATATTCCGCGCTCCAGAGGTGCACGATTTGACACCCGGTCTACAAGGAGATGGTCACCATGGTTCACCAGGTCAGCTTCGATGCTCTAGCAATGGCGTTGACTACATGCCAGTCTGCAATAGAGAGTGTACCCGGTCAGAAAGTGGACCCACGTCAAGCAAGTGCTAGAATGGCTGGGGGAAATGAAGAGCAGGCCGAAGACACTGAGTCGGACACGGGCAGCACAAAAACCAAACCAAAGAGGATTCGTTGCTGGGTATGCAAGCGCTATGGACACGGCACCAGCAAATGCGATGCTTCCATTGCCATCCCCGAAAATTCCCCCCTCACCAAGACCAACTAGGAGGTCTGGTGCTCTTTCACCCCAAGTTGGCGGCAGCTCCCAAAGTCAGAAGGAACCACATGTTGGATCTTGGATTTGGGAGTGAGCTACCACATGGTTAATGACCACAGCATGCTCATTCATCCAAGAAATTGCAGAAAGCGCATGTATACCGCTGGAAGCGAAGTGCTGGAGGCAACTGCTGTGGGAGATACCAACATAGCAACAGAACATGGAGACGTTTATCTCCAAAATGTGTTGTATGTTAAAAGACTCAATATTAACCTGTTGTCAACCAACTCACTGACAGATGAGGGAGCACGTGTGACTTTAGACCCTACAGGTGGGCAAATACACCTGGCAAATGGTATGCTATTGAAAATAGCGAAAGATCGCGAGCATGGACTACTAGAGTTCCGAGGCGACACATGGCAACAAAGCGCGATGACTACATCAACACCGCTGTTTGAAGGGGTTGATGAAGAGTTCGAGCTGGCCGATCGGAGACCAAAGATCTCCACAAGACAGCTCTGGCATGAACGTTTAGGACATCCAGGTCGAGACAAGTCCAGAGTGATTGTTGATAAATTGAAAGGCGAACCTGTAGCAGCATTGGACCCAGATACAGCTCTGATATGTGAGCAGTGTATATGGTCCAAAAGTACGGCTGCCCGGATGGGGCGAGGCAGCGGCGAAACAGCCGTGGGGCCCCTAGATCTCATCCACATCGATCTGATCATAGACTCATCCCACGTGACAGAATACACATGCACATTGGTGCTGGTCGACGACCATAGCAAGTATGTGCATGCACAACCACTCTTACGAAAGAGCCACGCATTCACACAACTCAAAAGAACAGTTTCGTTCCTAGAGACACAGATGGGCAGAAAGCTGAAAGCAATCTGATCTGATCAAGGAACTGAATGGAAGAGCAATGAAGCATTGGAATGGTCACTAGAAAAGGGCATAGAATGGCAAACTACTGTCAGTTACAACAGCAGGCAAAACGGACGAGTAGAACGGATGAACAGGAGCCTGGGTGAAAAAATGCAAACACTGTTGATGCAAAGGAGTTTACCAAAGAGATTTTGGCCGCATGCCATACGAGCGGCGGCATTCAAGATCAACCTTACTCCCAACGTTGACGGAGAGTTTCCATATCAGCTCATGTTCAAGAGATCACCAAAATGATTCATCTGCCTCATGCATGTATTTGGATGCCTAGCTTGGGTAAACATTCCAAAAGCTAAGCGAAACAACAAGAAGCTGGACCAGCAAGTGGTTGCAGCCATATTCATAGGGTACAGCTTGGAAAGAAAGGGATGGCTATTCTATAGCCCTGATTACTCTCCGAACATTTTCTGGAGCAACTCAGCAAGGTTCATGGAGACACAGTGTTGGTCAGACCGATCAGAATGGCGACCAATAAGTATCCAACCTCCACCAGTCCCAACTATTGAAGAGGACCTCGATGATCTGGGATACACAGAAGAGAACCTATTTGATGAGAGAGAGCAAGAGCCTTTGGAAGAGCACGTGGACATGGAACTAACCCTCGAAGAGGAGGGACTCGGAGGGCCACACTGTGATGATGAGAACCCTAACGGGATACCAGAGGAAAGGAGAATGACGAAGGAGAGGGAAGAGTATGCACCGGTGCCACCCAAGAAGAGAGGCCCATGGCCGAACTGGAGGCCAGCTAGAAACATGCGCAACCCAGAGACCTGGGTAAAGAAGAGTCACTTCGGGTTGATGGCAGCCAAGGTCAAGGAAGGAAAGGACAGCCTGAACCCAACTGTTCATGAGGCGCTGGCCGGAAAGGATAGGAGGTTCTGGGAAGAAGCAATGCGCAAGGAATTGAATGGGCTTGAAGCAATGGGAACGTGGGAAACGACTGACCTACCGTGGGGCATGAACACAGTCGACACACGATGGGTGCTCAAGATCAAGACTGATGCAAACCTGGTCCCCACCAAGTACAAAGCAAGATTGGTAGTGCGGGGGTTTACCCAGAGAGAGGGCCTAGACTACACAGAAATATTTGCACCAGTGGCACCCATCCAGGCAATAAGGGGAGTGCTGGCCATCGCAGCCATACGGGACTGGGAGGTCGATTCCATCGACGTCAAACAGGCTTACCTCAATTCAAGCCTGCATCATGATGTCTACCTAAAGCCACCAGTAGGAACCAGGGTACCTCCAGGAAAGGTATTGAAACTCATAAAAGGGCTCTATGGCCTGAAGCAATCAGGTCGGGAATGGAACATCGAGCTGGATACCCACCTCTGAAGTATCGGCTTCCACTGCATGCCGAGTGCCCCATGCCTTTACTCAAGGGGAGTGGGCAACCAACTCACAGTCATCACAGCATATGTGGATGACATGCTGATTGCATCACCTTGCAGAAGGGAGGTCGACCGTACCAAAGCCAAGATCATGGACAAGTGGGGAACAGAGGACAACGGACCTGTAGGAGAATTTCTAGGAATCAAAATCACTCGAGAGAGGAGACAAGGCAGGATCACACTTGATCTAAGTGCATACATTAAAGGCATGGTAAGTAAGTGGCTAGAAAGAACAAGTGAACGAACCTGGATCCCAATGCAGAGTGTAGCAGGAATCGCTGGAGGAAACAAGTGCAACCCAGATCAGGCCAAACGATATCAAGAGCTAGTGGGGCAACTTTTATGGGTGTCCAACACAGTGAGGCCAGACATCTCGTTCGCAGTAGGAGCTTTGGCACGATACATGTCAGAACCGATCGACAGTGCTTGGAGTGCTGCGATACACTTGTTAAAGTACCTGAACCAGACAAGCGATTACCGCTTAAATTTAGGAGGAGTGCACAGGAGTCACGCAGACCAACTGGTGGTTACATATACCGATGCAAATTGGGCTTCTGACCCTACAAATGGGTGTAGGAGTACGTCCGGAGCAATCACATATGTGTATGGATGTCCGGTTAGTTGGAAATCACATGTACAGAAGTGCATGGCACTATCGGCAGTGGAAGCGGAACTGGTCGCAGCCTCCGAAGCAGCAAGAGAAGCACTCTTCTTCTCACATTTACTCAGGGATCTAGGAGTATTCGGAGTCAAGCCAACGCTGCGCACTGATAGCCAGGGGTGCATACAAGTCAGTAAAGATCTGGCCAAACACTGGAAACTCAAACACATCGATACCAGATACTACTTTGTTAGGGATCATGTGCAAGATGGTGACATATCAATCGAGTTCGTCGGAACAGCCAACAATGTGGCTGACATACTCACGAAACCTCTCAAGGGACTCAACATGACAAGGATATCAAGAATGATAGGATTGGATATGCCGTTGAGGGGGGGAGTTGAAGATGCACCAACATCGCCAACGCGTGATGTATTAAATAGGAGCTCACAGGATCGGGGAATCAGGAAGGCATCAGGCAATGAGGAGGACAAGCAGAATGCGAAGCTAGTGGGAGCTAACGCAGCCTATGCACGAGGATTGACACCATGGTATGCAGGGAATATGTTGATATGACAACACTTATGAAAGAAGATACGTGGCACATGGGCATGACTCGACATGGGGAGCACAGTCAGGTGCCGAGAATATGTATATATGCCCTTAGCTTAGTCATTACCTCCTTACAAAAATTTAAGCCTTTTCACATAGAGCATCAGACTAAAGGAGTGCCTGACCGTGGCCTCCTGAGTGGTGTATCTAATTCCAACTCATTCTCTTGTGCACGTCCCTTCCCTCACTCCCTCACTCCCTCTCACAGCAGAAGCGGAGACTACAGCCAACTCTCGAGACGCGTTTCGGAGCCGACTTTTTATTAAAACAAATGTGAAGTAATAAAGATCTAACATCCGCAGAATGGGCTCTTGTGCGTGGATTTCAACCCCTGACCAGTGAAACTGCCAAAGTGAAATTGCCAAAGTCACGTGCAGCAAATGGAAAGCTTGGTTTGAAGAGTCGACTGCGCATTCTTGCTCGCATCGTCATGACCACCATCGTCATCCTTTCGACCACGCTCAGCAACACTTGATTGCACGTTTTCCTTCCCTCTCTCTTACTCTTTGTCACCATCCCAAGGACTGCAATGCATCCTCCATCCATTCCCACTCGCCCTCGCCAACGTCTTCGGCAGCCTTGATCAACCCAGTGACAGTGTCACTCTCTTTTCCCCGCCACTTTCTCCGCATGCTCGGCTGTTCTGGTCGCTGAGCTTGCCTGACTTCTCTCCTGCCGAAATGGTTAACAATAAGCATGGCAGCTATGCCAAATCCTTCCTCGATAACCTCTTGGTTGCAAAGAATGGCTCCACGCCAAACCCTCAGTCGTTCTCTTCCAACTCTACATCAGCTACCGCCAACACAGCTGCCTCTTCAGCCGCTACATCTCTGGGCACAGCACCCTTGCTCACAGCTGCCTTCAAACCACACAAGCCTTCCTCCTTATCTTCATCCGCCTCTGCATCGGCTTCTGAGGATGGAGCAGCCGAAAGAGCTACATCCGGCTATGATGCCTATCTACCTTCAACGCTCTTCTCTCACCCAGACTACGATCAAGAAGAGCAAGACAATCTCAACCTTAATCAAGTCGACGATGATGACGCTTCATCTATAGCCGCTTCACCGCCTCTCTCTTCCTCCTTCAAGGCTCAGCAGCTTTCACTCCAGGCTCTCTCGCATCATCGCTCCTTCTCCACCTCGAGTAGTCGCAGGACCTCCACCTCGAACCCTACGCCCGACTACACCACCGACATCCTCGCCACTCTCAATGACCAGCATCTCGACGAGGAGGAACGCATCGACAAGGTCAGAGCCACGCTTGCCAATGCTCTCTACGCCATCGAAGGTCTACCTTCACCCTCGGCACGCATCGACAATCTTGTCCTCGACCTTATGCATCGTCATCGAGAGGATGTTCAGCCCACTGGTGCCCACTTTTCCTCCAACCCAACCCAGTCGCCCCTACGTCGTCCAGCTAGGATACCCTCCTTCTCTACCTCTCGCCCCTGGACGCCATCGCGGCCTTCCTTCTCGCCTGCCTCTTCATCCTTCGCCACTCCGACAGAGTCATCAGCCGTTTCCGCAGCCTTTGCCAACTCTCAGCGTCCAACCTCGCCTCACTTGGGCTCTAGTGCACTTTCCTCGCTCACTTCGGCTACTACTCCAGCATGGCCCTCTCCCACAGCAACAAGAGCAGCCAGCCCACGACCCCATCCTGGAGTCATTGGCTCTGGCTCTCCTCGTGCTTCACCTCGACCTTGGAACCGTACTCTATCTAACCTCTCCACCACCAGTCTAGCCTCTACGAATGGTGCAGCTGCAGGCACTCTATCCCCCATGTCTTCGCTTCCACCAGGCGTGTTCGGCAATCCAGCTAGTCGCCCAGCCTCACCATCTCCTTTCAGCTCACCGAAGCTCAACATTGCAGCAACCGAGTTCAAACCACGCACCGGCCCTTCCACTAGCAGCACCACCACCATCAGCACCACCACCACCACCACTGCCGCTGCTGCTGTTGCTGCTGCTGCTGCTGCTGCTGCTGCTCAACTTACGCCAACTCGTCCAGCTCTCCACCTCGTGCGCCGTCCTAGCTCCAATGCCAGTAGCACCAACCTCGCTCTCGCCAACAAGAGTCACGCTGGTGCTGGCGATGACGACGACGATGAGTTCTCGCCCTTTGGTACTGTCAAGCCTGCTCAACAGCCGCTCAGCTATGCTGGTTTCACTTTGTACGATCCGGATGCTGGCTGGACTTCGGCACAGACTGCTGCTGGTGCTCAGAACGCGTATCAGTCAAGTTGGCCCAGTGTCGATATGGGTCAGAGCAGGGACCCTTCCGATCCTAGCGCGTCTGCTACAGAGCCTACGGCTCCTCTGACACCTTTCGACATGCTCTACTCCATCCTTGTCACGGGTACCAAAGCTGGCTCGTCAGAGTGGAGTCCGGAGCAGGTCGATGAGGCGCTTGTTATGCACAACTACGATGTCGAAAAGACACTCAATGCCATCTGGGAGAACGACGGCAAGCCTTTGGGTGATGGTACACGATCTCTGTTGTCAGGTGCAGGACCTTCTGCTAATCGCTTCTCCGCTCGTCCTTCCGCATCCAACTCGCCTCGCATGGCTCCCGCTCAGCTGCCAGCTACGGCAGGCGTCAAGGCTGGTGTTAATGTCATGTCCAGAGAAGCGCTCGGTTTGGGTGGTGCTCGTGGTCAGCGTCCCGCTTTGTCCAGATCTGGTTCATCACAGATATCGCAGCGGTATGAAGCAGCACCAGGCGCAGCAGGAGGCGCAGCCAATCGCGTCTGTCGATACTATTTGGCTGGGGAATGTCGACGTAGTGATTGCCGCTTCTCCCATGACTTGGACAGTCGTGCTGTCTGTCGCTACTGGTTGAAGGGGCATTGTGCTCATAATCCTTGCAACTTCTTGCATGATTACGATGCGCTCAACCAGCTGGCCGCCGGTATTGTTTCTGGTCTGAATGTCAATGATGCATCAGCCTCGACAGCCGAGCCATCAGATACTTGGCCTGCGCATGCAGCAAGTGCTGGCAATGGTGCCAAGGAAGACTTCCCCGAACTCGGAGGGAGTTCGAAGGATGGGTCGAGCAAGTCCTCGTATGCTGCGACGTTGGGTGGTGGTGCTGCTGCTGCTGCTGATGCTTCCAGAAACAGGTGGGCTTCCACCGTGCAGAGGAAGGCTCCAACGGATGCTGTCATACGGGCACACAGTGATTCGCAAGGAGTGATCAGTATTCACTCCAAAGCTGGTCCGATGCGATCTCAGCCTGGAGCAACAGGTTCAGCAGAAGGCAAGCAGGTTGGCAAGGCTGCGGCTGCTACATCACGCACCTCAGCCCGTATCCCATTGCGACCATCAGCACTCCTCCCCACCCTACTAACTGGCTCCAGTGCAGCCTCAACCTACCAAACCCATCGAGCCGACGTCCTCTCGCTCGCGGAACAACGCAACAAACTTCTCGCCCGTGCCTCCGAAGCATACCGCAAAGGCGATGTCGCTTCCGCCTCCAAATTCTCCAAAGAAGCTTCCTCTCTAAACCATCGATACGAAGACGAATCTCGAACTGCTGCCCATGCTATCGTCAAAGACCGTCTCGTCGAGCTTCGAGCTAGACTGAACGACCCATTCGCCTCGGGCTCTAATGCGGCTGCGCAGAGCACCGAAGCTGGTACACGCAATCTTCGCGGGAAGGTTGTGGGTAATGGTTTGGGTCTTTGTCTCGGTGCGGTTAGGCGAGGAGCATTGCAGGGGAATTCAGCGAATCTTTCGGTGGATGAAAGGACAGAGTGTTTGTTGGATCTGCATGGATTGCATGCCAAAGAAGCCGTTGAGTTAACCGAGAAGTTTTTGTTGGGCTTGGAGGCGGAGGCGATTCAAGGATTAGCCTACTTAGCCATAGGCAAGGGGAAACATAGTAGTAAAGAAACGGATAGAAGGAGAGTTGCTGTCGAGGGTTTTGTGAAGCAGTTTTTGAGTAGTTATTCCTATCCCTTTGCCGAAAGTGAAGGTCTCTTGGTTGTTGATCACTTGAGTCATCTATAACCTACACAATTACCCAGAGGTAATCAAAGACATGGACTATACACTGAGCCTTTCTATGAAATCCGATACATGTGTGCATGTGTGTTAGACTTGTCATTGTTGAGCGAAGCACAAACAAAGGTGGTCAAGCAAGTGGTGAATTGTTAGCAGTCATGTTAGAGCATGAGTACACAATCATGTGATTTCACTGTCCCCCTTGCAAACTGAGCAGTCTGAGCAGTTGAGATCTACCATACCAAGTCATTGTCAGGTACACATGAGCAGCTGTTGGGACACTGGCTTAGTGAGGTAGCCTGCATTGTTGTGTTTGGTCTTAACATATTGTATGACAATGTCACCCTCCATGAAATGGTTTTGGATGAGATGATCTTTTGTGTCAATATGCTTGAGCCTCAAGTGGAGTTGCCTGGTCCTTTGCAACTTGGATGCATCCAGTGTTATCTGTGGGGACTATTGGTATGTGGTCTCTGAAGCCAAAACCATACAAAAAATGCCAATGGAATAGAGCTTTTGTGCATGGCTGCCAATCCTGCAACATACTCTGCTTTGACAGCTGAGTCCAAGACACACTTCTGGATGTTGTCAGCAGTCGCATGCCTGGAACCCGAAATCTACTGGATCAATTGATTTCAACCAGTTTCAGTGAGCACTTTTGAGTATGCACCTGTCAGCCACTTTCACTGAGACTGCTTGGAGGCTTGTTTGCTTGACAAGTTTTGGCTAACTGCTGTGAACACTCAGTCCAGTGGTAGCATGGCACAGTCAGCTCCTGCTTGCTGTAGACACTTAGTGTATGTGATGATAATCATTGATTTGACACAAGTGTTCAAGGTGTCAACAATCAGATGGCAAATTGTTGAGGAAAGCCTGGACCACAGTATGAGTACCACCTTTGGTGAGATAGATATCTGGACCACAGTAGCTACTGCCTACAGATGATATCAGTGAGGGGTGATACAACACACCTGCTTGGATTAGTAGCAACAGCCTGTGATTGCAACTATGTGATGGAACAACTAAGTATATGTTACAGTAGAGTATAGTTTAGTTAAGAATAGAGTGGATGCCAGATCCACTCATTCACTATGATGGAGGGGGCATATATATATCTTGGTGCCATGGTGTCAACTTCACCACAGCCCTCCTCCTTGCAGAGAAGTGGCCTCTCTGTCCACCCCTGTCTACCTGGTGTCAGGGGTCTCGCGCCTGAAACCCAGGTCAGTCTGTCGAGATACTCAGTGACTATCAAACTGTGCAACAGCTATTGTCTCAGTATCAGTCTTGATGAGCTACATTGCTTGGCAACTATCAAGTTGTGCAATGACAGTTGGTGGTGTTTGTTGTATATACTATTGTAGGTTTCAGCTGACCTCTGTGGACACTCCATTCAGGGGTAGCTCGGCACAATCAATATCAATGTTATGATGACACCAAGGTCTGGTGTGAGTGTTGATGATGATGAGGTTGATGGTGTTGGTGATAAGCTTGGTGGTGTCAACATGAGTGTCCAGTGTGTTGACTGATGCTTGAGGTGATCCCCAGACTGCAGTGGACTACTGCCTTCAGTTCTATCTATATCCAGACCACTGACCTGCTATGGGCCACCTTTGGATGTCAGGTAGTGGTGATACAACACACACACTACAATGAGGAGCAACCTTGATAGATTGCTACTATGCTGACTGGAACTAATATATACTTATGCTGAAGTGATAACTAGTTATGGTATGTGTAGAGTGGATAAGGATCCACTCAACCTTTGATGATGAGGAGGTATGGTTATATGCCTCTTCACAGTGTCACCAGCAACACTGCCCCTGCTCTCTCTCCAGAGAGTACCTTCTTCATTGAGTACTGTACAGGGGGCCCCTCTAGCACCACTCCTGTCCTCCTTGAGCTATCCTGCTTGTTTGGCACCCCTGTGCCTCCTGAGCTGTGTTGACTCCTTCGACACTGCTCCTCCTCCTCAGGACCTGCTTGCCAGTTTCCTATACACTGCTCCTTCTCCTTTGACCAGTGACGGTTCCTTTGACTCTTGTCTCTCAAGCCCCTGAGTGGTAACTGTCTGCATGCTCCTTGAGCTTGGTCCTCTTCGTGGCTGTGCCTGGCCCTCCTCACATATGGGCCTGGTCCTCCTTTGCATGTGAGTCTGTAGGAGTCCATGGTCTCCATGGAGACTGCACTACGACCATGCTCTCCACTGGTATCGACTAGATCTCCGATACCTGTGCTCCTTCCATATGAACCAGTGACCCTCCTGCTTCTTGCCTTCAGGCCCATGACACCTGGCTCTTACTCCATCCTATCCTTTCTGCTCCTACTCTTCTTGCTGAAGCAGCGATCCTCCTATGCCAACTTCATCATGCTCAGGGGTTCTCTCCCACCTCATCAGGTGGCAAGTTCTCTCATCCCCTGTTCCCAGTGACTGGTCCTGTGGTCTTGATGGAGCAACTTCATCCCATTGTGGGACTGATTGGTCCACTTCATCTTGGGCCAGTCTTGGTGAAACTTCCCAGGTCCCACTGTCTTGACCATTCTTGATGAGGTTTTGCCAGAGCTCACTGTTTGACCATTCTCAATGAGATTGGTTGGAGCCCCTGGGTCTCAACTAGTCCTGCTTCCTGTGCACCGAGCTCATTTTGGCAGCTGCACAGAACGTCTGCTTATGATCTCTGTGCTGGCCCTGTGACAATAAGCAAGGGTGTTGACAGCAAATGAGATGTCTGGCTGGACAGTGTTTGAGACCCAAAGTAGCTTGCCCACAAGTACTGGGTACCTGGCTTTCAGCTCTTTGTCTGTCTCCAGGTCAGTTGGCAGTTTCAAAGGGGTGTGGGTCATGGGGGTCCATGTTCTCTCATGTGGTCAGATCAAATCTTTTATGATCTCCTTAATGTATGCTCATTGATCCAAGCCAATGACCCTCTTTCCCTGATCCCATGTGATCTTGATCTTGAGGAACTCTTTTGTGGGTCCATTGTTGGTGATTTTCCACTTGTCAATGATTGCTTTCTTCGCCTGATTGATCTGGTCTCTTCATGGTGACACAATGGACATGTCATCCACATACACCACAATGATCACTTGCAATGTACCTGCGCCTCTAAGGTATATGCAGGGTACTGTCACAGGGTCTGCGCAGAAAGAATCTAGGAAAAGCGAGCATTGGGTGACGACAATCTGATTGGGCTAGTTGTGTGCAAAACTCGTGAGATCAACCACAACATAAGGATTTAGTTAATCTCATTGGGATTGACCAGAACAAGCCTAGCCAGTAGGTTTCACCAAAATGTGCAAACCAAAACCATCAGTACAGAACAGGTCATCTGTCACAAGGAAGTAATGGAGGATCAGAAGAGGGGGGCCTGACACCAGAAGGTTGAGGAAGTATATGGGAATGATTGCATGCAAGAAGAGGACCAAGCTCAGGATCATGCAGATGGTTACCACTCAGGGGGGACATGCTCACTGCCACATAGAACTGACAACAGGGGCCACCACATGACCAGGGAGCATGACAATAGAGTTTGGCATGCAATCAGGGGATTCACAAGATAAGGAGTTGGAAAGATGGTCACTGGTCAGGAGAGGGAGACCTGTGTCAAGGAGACTGGGGCCCTAACTGTATGGTGGAAGAGCAGTGCCAAAAGGGGTTGGCACATAGTGCCAGATGTAAGGGGACATTAGAGGTTAAGGGGCAGTGTTGAATAATCCAACACACTGTCCAGGCAGCAGAAGAGTAGCACTAGAGGAGCTGGCACACAGCTCAAGGAGAGTAGTGCCAGAAAGGGGTGAAAACCCTTTCTTGAAGGAGCAGGAGAAGTGTTGCAGGTGACACTGGGCAAACACATAAATACTCTCATTTCACCATAGAGCATATGAGTGGATCTTCATCCACTCTACTCTTTATCTTACTTACTCTTTACTTGACTCATAGTTATGTATCATTGCAATAGCAGAGCTTTGCAATGACATCTTGAATGTGTGTGTTGTATCACCATCAGACATCAACTGTAGGTGGTGTTGCTCAACACCTGTGGTCCAGTTCATCACTGTAGGTGGTGTTGCTCAACATCTGTGGTCCAGTCAGTTACTGTAAGCAGTGTCTAAGCACCTGCAGTCCAGTACCTCTTGTCATCTGTAGGTGATAGTCTTATTGTGGTCCAGACAATGTCAAGAACATCAACTAGCAGCACTACAAACACTCATGCTGTATTAGGAGAGTTGTATCTGATACCACTCCCACACCAATGTGTTACAGATGTGCTGCATAGCCTCTGAACAGAGTGTTCAAGGTGGTCAGCCAAAACCTACCAGAACTCAACTGTCTGGTTACCTTCAGCTGAAACATACTGAACAGATTGTACTCAATTGATCTCATCGAAATCAACTGGAAGCACCCAATCTGGTTTCAGGTGCGTGACCACTTACAGGTACGTTGAGGAGCAGGAAGAAGCCCAGCCTTTGTAGGTGTGTGTCAAGCTCCTTGTGCCATTCCCGGCTGGATTGATTCAGCCCATAGAGGCTCTTGATTAACTTATATACCTTCCCTGCCAGGACTTCTGCACCCCCTGGCAGTTTTAAATAGATGTTGTGATGTGTCATGGGACCAGATGGATGTGCAGGAAGAACGGGACTCATATGAAGAGATCTTGTGCAACCATTGTGGATTGGGCAAAAGTAGAGTTCCAACAGAGTTCAGTGAGATTGGTAGGATCAACAGCTCTATGACATAACTTGTTGAGATTGGTGGGAACATGGGTCATGCTACAGGAGTCAATAGAATCAGCAGTACCATGCTTGCTATAACAGATCTCATGGGAAACAGTTCAAGGGAAACCTCTATTGCTGATACAGCAAGGGGGTAACAACAAACAAGGGGGGGTCACCACCAGATGAAGAAGGGACCTTGCACAACAATGAAGTCGATGCAAGCAGATGGGTGCTGACAACAGGAGGGTGATGAATGGATGCAAGTTGCCACTCAGATGAAGTGGGAATGA